TGAGTAGAGTGGACGTTGCATCTTTACCGGCTGTCCTTTTCGACGGTGCGATCATTCCATATAGTAGTGACGTCAAAGATCTCGGCTTACTTATTGATAGTAACTTAAACTGGCATGCACATGTCACCAGTGTGTGCAATAAGGTGACCGGTTCGTTGCGGGCACTTTATCGCGCCAAAAACCTGCTCCCGTCCATCACCAAGTCAATGCTGGTGCAGGCCTTGTTGTTTCCCATAATTGATTACGCTGATGTGTGTTATTATGACCTGAATGCAGATCTCCTCAATAAACTCGACCGACTTCTGAATAACTGCATTCGTTTCGTCTTCAACCTGCGTAAATATGATCATGTTTCTGCACATCGGCTGCAATTAAAGTGGTTGCCCATACGCCAGCGCAGGGAGCAAAGGGCGCTAACCACTCTGTTCTCTTTCCTTGATTCTCCTTCTTCGCCAACTTATCTATCCCCTTACTTCCAATACACATGCGCAAACCACAGCAAGTATCTCCGTTCTTCTAATAACCGCCTTCTTCAATGTCCAACTCATCACACAAAATTTCTTCATGCTTCTTTTTTTATTCAATCTATTATTCTGTGGAATGCGCTCCCCCTCGATGTCAGGATGGTGTCGAATCGTTGGGCGTTCAAGCAAAAGGTTCGGGAGTTGCTTTTGAAGAGGTTGGCAGAGGTATCGTGATCATGACATCAAATAGCAAAATATGTATAATTTTAAGTAGTATTTGTAATTATATTATTGTTGTATATGTAATATATAGTATGTATATATATATATAAGCATATGTATGTATATTTACAGTATATAATATGTATTTATAACATCTCTGATGATGCTTGTTTTGTGCACCTTTATATTTATCTCTGCATCATCCAAAGGTCTGGCTGTCAGAGAATGCCCATGGCATTAAGCCCACCTTTGTACATTTGTTTTGTGCATAAAGATATTAAATAAATAAATAAATAAATCTAAATAACTAGCAGAAATTTAAATTGAAAGATCCACACTGAGAAAATCTCAGCTAATTTTTCTATTTTTTTTTTCTATAGGTATTGTCGATATTTTTATGAACATAGCATAGGTAAATTGTATAGGACCTACTCCAAATTATCTACCAATTGATTTAGGGTTTTCGAGAAAATAAATCTTGTGGTAATAATGGTACCTACCTTGGTAGGTACTTATTCGATTTTTTGTAATTTTTTTTCATTAGCAGTAATAGGTATGTCAAACTCCAAAATGTTAAAGGTATGTGTAGGCATAGTTGTTTTAAAGGGAAAACCCCATTATTACTTCTTCCGCTCTGGGCGAGGCTATGAGGAGTGTGAGACTCCTACTGATTAATACCCCGTTTCGTCTCCTGCTCTCGGTGGGCAGCGGTACATTAGATATCGCACTTGACCCACAATCCTGGCAGATGAAAACTTAGCTGATGACCTATTTAGAAATAATCATCCCTACGTATTTCTGGATATGATGCGACTAGGATTACCTACATATTTGGGTGAAGTATTTAGTATTTCTTTCAAATTTCAATTTTTTAGCCATTACAAATTAGACAAGAACAGAGAAGAAAAGATAAAGAAAAAGTATTAAGCTTTAGTCTCTTTTTTTTGGTATAAGTCGGCAAACGAGCAGACGGATTACCTGATGGTAAGCAATCGCCGCCGCCCATGGACACCCGCAACACCAAATGAGTTACGAGTGCGTTGCCGGCCTTTAGGGGATAGGGGTTGCGGATAAAAGGATCGGGAAAGGATAGGGGAAGGGGAGGGATTGGGCCTCCGATCTTGTCTGCCGGTATAAAAGACACAATATAAAACACATTGTGTCTCGCGCTCCAGGGTAAAGTAAGGTTAATTGCGTTACGCTAATTTTATCTAAAGCTGAAGAAATTGAAAGGTGCAAGAGGCCCGGAGGTTAAGGCGCCCTCACGCTTCTTCTTCACATGAGGGTGCGGGCTCGAAATCTGGCAAGTACCAATATGACTTTTCCCGAGGTATAATGTACATTCTATAATTATTTAGACACCACTGCCATACGGTGAAGAAAAACACCGTGAAGTAACCTGGACTTAAAATTTCTATTATAAGTTTGAAATCGCCAATTCGCCTTGAGCAAGCATGGTGATTAATGCTCAGACCATCTCCGTCATCATCTTTTGCTCAGCAGTGGGTACTTAGAGGGTGATGATTTGATGTGATATGGGCCTTTTGCTAATCTTTTTTTTTATGTAATTGATCGGCAAACGAGCTGATGGATTACCTGATGGTAAGCCATCAGCGCCGCCCATGGACACCCGCAACGGAGGAGTTACGAGTGCGTTGCCGGCCTTTTAGGGATTAGGGATTTGGAGATTTAGGAATTGAGGAGGGATTGGGGGCGGGGAAGGATTGGGCCTCCGGTAACCTCACTCACACGGCGAAACACAACGCTGTGGTTGTTTCACGCCGGTCTTCTGTGTGGAATCACTCCGGTCGAGCCGACCCATTCGTGCCGAAGCTTGGCTCTCCCACACTTAATCATTAATAAAATCATTAAAATAATCTTTAATAAAATTTGATTACGTCCCTGTCTATCTCCTATTACGTTCAGCGGATGATGTAGAAGAATCAGGTCATAGGTTAGACATTGCTGCCGACTTTGGTAACGGTAGTTAGGGAGATGGTATCTGTTTTGTTTACTTCACAGTGGTTTATTTATTGAAAACCCTAAATCAATTAGTAGTAAGTTGGAGTAGGTATACAATTTTAAACTTATGCCTCATCAATGTGCCTTGAGACGGACAGACTGTCACGCATAAAGTTAAACCGTTTGATATTTTTTCTTCTTCGGCTTTTTTTATTTCAAGTAGACCACAAAAGTGCCTGTCGTGGTCTACTTGAAATAAAGAATTCGATTTGATTTTATTATGAAACGCGTTTTTCCTGCGTAACTTTTTTTTGTGAGGTGAATATCATCAAATGACTTCTCCCGCCCAGGGCTGGGCGGGAGGGAGTGTCAGACTCTTACTGACTAAAAACCCCCCTGTTCCTTCTCCTGCTCTGGGCTGAGGTCGCGGTGCCTCATTGCGCTTACCCCGCAACCCCGGCTGAACATCAGCCCTTCAGGGCCCCGTCTGTGGTATTGGTCAATTGGCTCTGTGAGGCGCGCGCGGAACGCTACGCGCCGTACGCTCGGGCCTGGTTCTGGTCGGGCGGCGAGCTGCCCTTACTCGCCGACCGCAGACCCGTGCTGCTTACTTAAGTCAATATTTCTGCCTAATGAGTTTTAGTTTTGACATTTAACCAGATTTTAATCTTGCTACCGTTAGATATCTAGAGAAACATGTCTTAAAACTAGGTATATTAAGTAGATAAGTTATACCTAGATAAGTTAGGTACATACAACAACAGTTCATTAGAAAAATAGCGTTGCTGAAAATCCCGTCGGAAAATATTGTACTCAGCTACACAATAGTGACTATCTAAGCGGCAATTTCTGATTTATTTTTTTTATCCTATGCTTACCTAAAATTTTATCAAATAAAAAAAGTGTAGATAGGTATATATATAAAAAGAATTGCAGATATCCTAAGCCACACAAATACCTACCCAAGTAAATTTAGTTCATAGAGCTTTTTTCATTCTACGTTTTTAAATAAAAATAGGTATTTGAAACATGCGATTTACATCTAACTAAGTATAAAATTGTTTGATTTAGTCCTCCCATAGGCATCACTAGGTATCTATTGGAAGGTTTCCCTAACAGGTAACCTTTACTTACACCTAAATCAAATATACCTAAATTTCTACTTACCTATTTGAACAATTAGTTTGATAAAAATACCTACCTACTTAGGTAGGTTTTATGTGCCCACTTGAAGCCTAAATTCCGCTAGTTTATCTAAGTATTTTTTATTCTATTCAAGCATAGCCCGTGAGTATTTGAACTGTACCTTTTTTCTGTGAGGGGAAAATCATCAAATGATTTCTCCCGGGCCCAGGGCTGGGCGGAAGGGAGTGTGAGCTCTTACTGACTAAAAAACTGTCGCGGTGCCTCATTGCGCTTACCCCGCAACCCTGGCTGATTTGAACTGTACCTAAGGTTTTCTATTAGTTCTTATAGGTGTACTTACCTACAATATAAAATGGTATGCTGTTTGGATCTAGAATATCTCCATGTTTTATTATTCTAAAATTGGTTGAAATTAATCCAAGCAATGATGCTAATCAAAATAATTGTACCTACTTGAATGTTTCATAATGAATAGGTACAATATCATAAAGTAACCAATCTGTATTTTATAAACAAAAATCAATCACAGCTCACCACCGACTATAAAACATAACATTTTTAATTAAAAAATCAACTATTTACCAAACACTGTTTAGTTTGTAATGGTGGAAAATATCCGTGAAATTCAAACTTTATCGGGTTTCATTAAAATTTAATTCAACTACATAAGAAAACAATCGTACGGCAGCAGCAACAAATTATTTTATTATCGATAAAAATAATTAAACCGAACGCGACTATAAACGTCCGCCATTTTGTAAGAATCAATTATTGGCGGGAATCGTTGAAAAATCCACGTTTATCTCGCGACATTAAGCTAATAAAGCATCGGACTTAATTAAAAAGTATTACACCGTGCGGAGGCGAGCGGAGCGGGCGAGCGCCGCGTGAGCCGACTAGCCCAAAACGAGTAAGTCGACCGCGATTACCCACCCAATCGACGCCTTAATTGAATCATAACCAACTAAATTCGAAAGCACCACTCGACGCGTTCCGCGCCACAAATCTGATGTAATACGCCATACGGCCGGCTAAATCACAAGCTCTTAACTCAAACCGCCCACTGGGAAAGCGTTCCAAATTCAAATAACACCTCTACATGCCTGCTGGCCAATCGCGCAGCAGCCATTCAAATAAAGAGTTCAGCTCAGAGATCAGTCCCCACCCCTCGGTAAATACCGTCCAATAGGAGGTGAGGAGTCCATGTTCGTTATTTTTTTTCCGTGTCGACGGGCGTCTCGCGAGTGCGGAGGGCTCATTCGGCCGCGCGCCGCCTTGGCGTTCGTATCGCGCGCTCGCGTCACGATGGATTGTGTTCTGTGTGACATGTGCTTCTGATTTGGTGTATTATTTTTTTTGTGACGGACCCGTTGTGTGTAAAAGCATGATGCCTCTCGCACCGACCCCTGTGGTGGCGGTGCCATCGAAGCCGAAGATAGGATTTAGTATAGACAGTATTGTGGGTGGCTCGGAGAGGCCGAAGCAGGCCTCGCCGCCGCTGGCGAGTCCTGGCTCTCCATCGCCGGTTGCGTCCCCGAGGAGTCCTTCACCGAGACCTTTATTGAGGCCGAGTGCGTTGCCTGCGGTGTTTCCTTCTCCTGAGTTGAAGAGGCTACCTTACTTGGACGCTCAAAGTCATCACCACCAGTTTCTGGCGCACTTCCAAGGAGCTGCTCTTGCCGCGGCTTTGGCGCACCAGCAGCAGGGCTTCGGAGGACCTCTGCCGCCGCATCCACCCCCGCATCCTGCGCCACCTGTACCCCGGGAGTCCTACACGCTGTACCCCTGGCTCATCAACAGGCACGGCAGAATATTCCCGCACAGGTTTCCTGGAGGTAAGTTTGGATTATTTTCTCACCCATATTAGTTATTTTCTGCCAAAATTAAATTTTGTAAAGTACCTAGCTATAATTAGTTGCCTTATAGTTATTACTGTTGGAAGTGGGAAAATTGAGTTAAATTTTTTGGAAAATTATTTTGTTTTAATTATGTTCTCTGTCAAAAAAATTTGTATTTTATGCTAAAGTTTTTTTTAATATGACTAGATGGTTTATATCTACTCATTATTCTGGAAGCGGGAACAAATAGCGCTTTGTTTTTTGGAAAAACGTATTGATTTTTTTCTATTGCAACCAAGACATCAATATTTGTCTGGGCACAGTGAGAGATAGAAGCGTAGGTTTATCTTTAAAATATTCGAATTACTGCATTTATATACTTAGTTTTATGGTCCTTTTTACGTTTTCCTTAAGTACTTACACCTATAGAACTAGTGTCTTGGCGTTATCCAATTATTTCGGTTCCCTACTAAGTTTTGCACTTCTGGAATTTTATCCGAAAAATCCGAATAAAGATATATTTTACTACATCTTTTGTTTCATCCTAGTTTTTAGGTGTTTTTCTCTATGTAGTAAAACCTCTGTCTGTCTTTTCTTTTCTGAACAAAAAAGGATGTTCTTGAATTTGCATTCTTTTTTCAAAATTATCATAGGTATTTTTCTCTCGTGATGGCCATAAAATGAAATTAAGACAAATAAAGTTGTAACACCCATATTACAAATGTTATGCTAATAACTCCGTTGAAAGTGTAGGTAATCACTTGATTAATGTTCTCGACTTTTTATATTGAACGCTTACGGTAAAAACTTATTAACACGTTCACTGTCCATGAGGTTAACCCTGACCTCATTGGGGGCTTCTACTGACACGTGCATGAGGTCACTCTTACCTCACGACACCCCGTTAGAGAAATTAGTTTTTTTTTCTGAACGTGTGAGTAGAATTTAGTATTAACGGATGAAAATCAAAAGTTTATAGTCTGTGGACCATAGATAAGCAAAAACATTCGTTTTTTTTATCAATTGAATTGGATTTTAGGCCTTTAAAATAAAACAAAAAAATCATAAATAGACTTTAATTGTATGAAAAACAAAAAATATCGTCATCTGTTTCACTGTAACTGTTCATTAAAATATTGATAATATTGTCATCCTTCACTTTAGCCATGTTGCAGTAACACAGTAAAACTTAGTTTAGAAAGTTAAATCCAACTTAAACCGTAACTATGAAACTGAATTTAAACTTTTTTAGAAGTTATGCCCAAAAACGTCCGTTTTTTGTCACAGAGATAATTGAATTAGTGTGTTGCTATTTTTAAAAACCGAAATTACCACAGTTTATGTAAAAACTATAGACATTTTTAAGAAATAAGAATAATTTTCGGTCTATACGACTACTGAGGTCAACCTTAACCTCACTTAATTTCATACTGACACGTCCGTGAGGTCGGGGTTGACCTCATTAAGTTTTTGGCCAATAAAAAAAAAAACAAAAAAAAATTAAAAATAAATAACATCTAAACTGTATTACTTGGACCGATAATATGCTATTATAATCGAAATCTGAAGTGGACATGTAGGTATGATCACGATTTTATACGCGGACAGGGAACGTGTTAAAGTTATAATAAAAAAAGACACATTCCCACAAATATTTAGCCAATTATGCAGTAATTTATGATCCTCATCTCATGAGAAAAAGCTTTTTTATTAGGTATTTTTTTTGTTGCTATTAGAGCCGTGTCATGTCGTCGGAAAAAAATCTTTACAACTCTTAATACATAAAAAAAAGTAACATTTGAGCGAATCGTGTGCCAGCTTAGATCGTTTTTTTTGTGCCAATTTCAAATCAAATTTCGAACTGAAAACAATTTCATTTGTTTTTTTTTTAATCTAAAAGATGTTATTAATTTTGGGAGCATTTATGAAGTTAATTATTTAGTAAACAATTATGTTTACTGATAGGCCATTTTTGGTTTAGTTTTTTTTGGTAAAGCGGATTAAGTACCTATCTGATTTTCTTTTTCCTCAAAATGGCTACCGGGAAAATGTCAAGGAGTATGTCAGTGATCAATATCGTGCGTAGATTTCATTGAAATAGAAATTAGTTTAGGATGCTCTGTCTTTTTACCTCGTTTTGTTTTTCATCAGGGTCAATGGTCCGTTTGGACATTTTTCAAATGCTTGTGTTTGATCTTTTTTTCTTTTTTCTTTAAATATATATACGAAGTCCTTTTAATCAATTGGGTTTTCTGCTACGGATTTGGTTTTACGAAGCATTGTTTTTTGTTATTTTCAAATTTAGAAATGGTTTTCAGTTCCCGTCGGCAACTGTCAAAATAAGTTTATTAATTTTTATTAGGTGATATTGGCGAGAATTTATGCCGATATTTTTTTATGACTCACATTTTTCTATAAGATTTTTTTTTCGCCGTAATTATGCATCGTGAATTTTTTAATCAATCTCAGATAAGGTTTCACATTAAATATTATCAAATAAATAACAGTTACGTCAATAATAATTAGTAATACGCCTATTAGACACTTAGCTAACGGAAGCTACAATATTTATACATATAAACTTAACAACCTCTCACTGAAATTGCTTGAGACTGTGAAGTATACAGCATAGGTACTTCATTAAATCATTCAAGTGATTTTCATTTCCTGCTTACAAATATCTTATTACTTGGTGTATTTATTCGGCTAATTACGAATAAAAAGGGGCATTATACTCGGGTAAAAGAATGTACGTTTGTTTTTGAATATACGGGCTTGTTGTAAGGTTGAATTGTAGGTTGCAGTGGATGTATGCGATGGGGTAGCAACCTATCATTAGTAATGCGCTCTCGTGATCAATAAATCATCAAGTTATAACAGCTTGTTATCCACGTATCATGAGATGTTTGTGTTTGTATCAAACACTTTTATTTTTCAATACAATAAGCAGGCAAAAGGACACGATCCCGCCATAAACAGTTCTTTTTTTTAATAAAAAAAAAACTTTATCGATTTCGCCCGGGTCATCGCGTCGCGTGTAAAGATACGTCGTTGACAGAATTAAAATGTTTAAAAAAAAGTAGTAGCTTATCGGTACACGCAGCCATTATGATAAAAAGCCCGTTATCTGAGTACGTTGAGATTGTTGTCTTTGGTTGTAAAAAAAGAAAGTTACAAATTAATCCGTTTGGCGCGAAAATAAAACTGTAATGTCTTTGTTTTGTCTTTTTTTATATTTAGGTGTCATTAACACATTTAATATGAAAAACAGTATTTATAATGTCTATAAATAGTATTAGAATTGGAATGTGATTTGCAAAAGTTGATTAAATTATGTCATTTTGACATTTTTATCACAACAATCATGATCTTCAATTTGAAGGTTAGACGGACAAGATAAAGATACCTATTTGCCCCTTTCTTTAATGCACAGAGTACTTTTTTATATGCTTTAATGATTTATAAATAAGTAAAAACTAAATAATTGACAGACAGTTTGAAATTGAAATTTTTATAAATAGAACTACCACAAGCCATCATTGGGGGCGACCATAGAGCGTTTTTTTTTCGTACCGCAATTGTTTGTCAGACAAAAGAGGTTTTAATAAGTTTGTTTATTCCTATTGTCTTGTTGAAGTCGGATTATGCATTTAAGCTTCTTTACTTATTTCAAGTTTACCGTTGAACTAACTTAGTTAAAAAATCCGTTATTTGTCCGTTAGTTTAGTTAATTTTAGCGGTTGTTCTTTGTGTTTTTGTGTACTAAGTATATTGGCTTTAAAAAACTATTTTTTGTCGTGTCTTTCTAGGTAGGTAGATAAGTATTTTGTTATTGTTTTGGACCATTTAGATAAGCTTGCGTTGACGCGTGTTTGATTTTTAAATTTTTTGGAAAAGCCGTCGGTCATAAAGTTATTGTCATTTGGAAGCAAAAAAATATGATAAATAAGGGTTTTCTTTTCTTTCAAATAAAACGTGTTAATTTTTGTTCTTACTTGTAAATTATTTAGAAGGCTGAATACCTAATAGAAATAAGTCTGAATTCGTTATTAGCTACTTATATTGGATATAAAATATTAAAAAAAAATCATTGGCCCACACAAGGATTTTCTTCTGTGTCGTGGCTGCGGTTACATATATACAATTTCACATACCTACACGTCACACCCAGACCCGGAACAACAATTTGTGGATAAAACCAAGAGTTAACCAGCCACCGAACCAACCATGCAGTGTGTCCATGTCTGTGTGTAATTGTAAGCGTGAAATCTGAATATATAGCGTGAATAAAAATCAAACATAAACCAAAATTCAGAATAAGTAGGTATATAAAAAAATCATAACTGGCGAGATCTTACAAAAACACTTCAAAGTGAAACTACACCTATTATTACATATACATTATCCTCAATTTCTTGTACTATTAATCGCATTTATTATTTATGTAGATATACATTTATGTATATACATAACAGTTCATATATATGGCGTCAGAGATACCTACCTACAATTAATATGTTTTATAACTCATATCTAATGTAGGCAATTAAAATTTTATGATTTAATTACAACGTTCCGTTCATAATTAGTTGTAGTTGTTACTTAGACGCTTTAAGCGTTTATTTAGAGTTTCTTCTGTTGAATGAAAAATCCTTTTTTGAGAAACTTAATTTTTATTCTAGTCCCACGTTTGGGCGCCAATAGAAAATTTTTATTTTTCTACCATCTATCTTCAGAGTACAGATTTTATATTTAATAGGGATTACCGTTTTTAACGCTAGATGGCGTTAATCTAAATAACGTGTGTCCAGTCAATGTAGCTGTTCAAAATTGAATGTTCAATGTGATTAGCGAATTCACGGCAGAATGGAAATTTTAAACAATAAGCAAGATTATATGAATATTATAATATCATCATCATCAGCCTATAAGTGCCCACTGCTGAGCAAAGGCCTGTTCTCAGGCGGAGGTTTGAGCATTAATCACCTCGCTTGGTC